TTACAAGTAATAAGAGTTACAATAGATTAAATTTTATTAAATATTTATACGTTATTTTTTTATATTATATAAGATAATAGATTTGTATGCATAGAGAAAATTAATAATTTCTTTACTTTATTAATTTACAAGATATTTAATCTTAAAGTTTTATTTTATTGATAATAACAAATATATTTGAATGTTGGAGAAATTTGATACCTTCAAATTGTGAATTGTTAAATATAATAGTTATAGATCATGAATGAAGGAAGATTTTTAATTTCAAGAATTAACATTTGCTTATTCTCAAATATTGCTTGCTTTTAATATTAAAACATTTATTGAATAATTTTTTAATGCAAGACATTACTAATGAAAGTGTTACATTATATATAGTTTAAAAAAATTTATGAAAATTATGTAATATTTTCATCTTAAATGAATACGATCAAGATTTGTACGAGTGTTAATATAAAAGTATAAATATTATCATATTAGTTCATTTACTTTATAGCGAGGAGATTCAGAGTTCAAACAATATTTTAATGTTTAAATATGTACTATATCTTAATATTAATCAATTATTTATTAAACACTGTAACCTCTAAGAAAATATCACAATGACCAACGAATACAGAGCCCGATATGAAATCGAAATCAGCTGAATATCGATATTTAACAATGTAAATTAAACAACAATTATAATACTATTACGGATAAATTGTAATTTGCTCGATTTATCCCTGCCATTAGTTAAATTTGTTCTAATTTTATTCAAAAACAATTTTAATTCAAGTTTCGAAGTTTAAAATTTTCATCATAAATTTTTAAATCATAATGAAATTTAGTAATTTATAATAGCGCTGTATTCGGTAGAATGTAGCTGCGTTTGGTTTTATCATAAAAAGTATAAAAAAAGAAAAGTTAATAATTCTTATGATGTGATTTAAAAAGTTACATATATTATATGCATGCGCCATTAGATATCAAAATATACGAATCTACATAATTACTTTAAAATGTAATTCTCAAAATTGTAATTTTATTTATTTAATATATAAAAAATTGCCTACGAGTGCATTTCATTTATCATATAACAATAAATAATAAATATTAAAAAATCTTTTTGTTATTTTTAAGTTAGTTTTCTTAATGAGCATTGTATGAGTTATTATTCGATAAATAATTTGTGTATTTTATTAGAAGTTTCACTGAGAAAATTATTAAAATAGAAAAATGTTTAAATATATTTATAACATAATTGCTAAATATTGTCACCGGCTAATGTTGTCCAAATGTTTTAAAAAAGCACTTTACGTCTCTTAGTAAAGCAAAATTCTTGATTGATTTATATTAGAAGTGTATGAAAATCAAAATAAGAAAAAGGCAAGAAGGAGAACAAGACTATTTTTTATAGCTATAATGGAGTCGATAAAAATTTTCATATATTTTGCAACTACTTATTCTGCTTACTCTCTTTATCTGCAATTTACATTGTATTTTGAAATAGTTGGGTCAACTAACATCTAGTACAATATAATTACCAGTTTTCCTTTCCTACTTTGATATTACATGCATTTATATATATAATACATTTATAGGATGTTTATTTTACATGAGCAATGACTTTTTTATTCATCAATTTATATTTTGCACAGAATCAGTATTATTCATTAATGAGAGCGAGATCTTTGTTCTGTGGTCACTCTAAATTATAATATTTTAACAGAATCATGATGGCATGATTGTCTTATATATTAATAATTAACGAAGAATTTTTATACATGGACATTATTCAATTTATTCGGGACAGTTGAGGCTGTAATTTTTTTTATTTATTTATTTTTTATTTCAATTTTTTCTTCATTAATTTTTTAATTAAAACAAATACATCTACTTAAAATTAGTGATGAATTTATAAAAATTAGTAATAAGACTTAATTATGTAGAATTTATCCTATACACATAAATGAATATTCTGAGTACTTACATTTGTGGAAATATATTTTATGACAGATGTAATATAATAGATATATTAATAATTATATGTATGGGACCTGTATTGTGATAATCTTTTAATATGCAATAATAATTTTGTTTTATTTGTCTGAATTAGTATCATTAATAATTCTAACATTTACATATATTGCAATTTGCTTTTGTTAAAAAAATGTTTTCAAAATTTCCTCTTAATAGCTTTTAAATATAAATAGTTAAAAAGTATTTGTTAATCTTTATTTTATTGAATATTAATCAAACTTTTCTTTTTTTATTAATAAAATATTTTATGTAATTTATAAAAATTGGATATTCTATAATTTAGTAATATACGTTGCAACAAAAACTTTTCTTTAATTATTATTTACATTATATTATCCAATTATTTGCACATGATGTTTCTTTATTATAATTCATTCATTAAAAAGAATTAAATGAATCACTGAAGTCTTACACTATATATAAAATTGTATAGAAGCTTTGAAAATATTTTTCCTTTAATCGTTTCCCCAGAGTCCAATGTATTCTTTTCCAATACATTTATTTTCTTTCCTACTCTTTGATGACGTGGTAGCTTTCTTAAGATTTTTCTTATTTTCCATTCTTTTTGCACACTTTAGTAATTCTGAACGTATTCTCTTTTTAGCCATAAATTTTGTCCCGCATGAAGTTTCCGTATTTTCTATATTATAAGTATCACTTTGAATGCATTGAATATTATCTCTTTCTGTTGTTGAATTATTATATGATTTATTTGTCTTATGCTTATAATCATTTTGAAGTTCATTATTTGTAATTTCTAAGGTTAATATTTTTTGCCCTAATTCTTCTATATCCTCATCACTGTCAGTATCGTACAATTGATAATCTTCATTATCACTAATTGAAGGAGACTTTAATATTACTTTTAAAATTGTTTTATTTGTATTGCTTTTCTTTAGAACATCTTGAAATTTAGGATATAAACTACTTTCATATGAAAAACGTCTTCTAAAAAATTGTTGAATACAATGAACATCTCGACTAAAATATAATTCAGCTTCATCATGATCAGTTGATATCATTTGTGGAAAATCAATAATAATAGGTTTTTCATCAGGCTTAAGCATGATATTGAATTCATTAAAATCTCCATGAATAACACCACAGTGTGCTAGTTTACAAATGATGTTCATTAGAGTATCATATAATTTTTCAATATTTTTAACTTCATGAATGTTACAAAGAGGTACACCATCTATAAGTTCCATTATAACACAGTGACGATTGAAATCTATAGGCATAGGTACAGGAAATCCTCTGTTATGGAGGGCTTTCATAAAAGTAAATTCTTTTGTGGCAGATATTCTTGACAAATAAAGCCATGACATGTACTTTCTATGTTGATAATAATCTCTTTTAGCCTTAACCTTTCGAAAACATATTCTACCCAATCTGTGCAATTTCAGACAATAAGCAATCTCATTTTTATTTGAAACAACATATATATTTGATTCTTTTCCAACACCTATTTGATTTCCAAAAGAATCGATTATTTCCCGTGCTGTCAAGGTTTTTAAAGCCAAATAATCATAACCAGTATTTGTCAATCTATAACCCTGATAATGTTTTGTTGTTTCATAACTTAATAACCGATGCTTACATAGCTCTTTTAATATTTTATGCAGTCCTCCATGACGTAAATTTGCAATTTGTGCAACTAGTACTTCAGGTACTAACTCATGATTTTTCATACCCATTTCAATTGCTGTTAAAATACGAAAATCTTCTTTGGTAAGATAACGCATAACTTTCACATCTAGTTTTCCCATGATTAATTTATAGTAATATACTAAATAAGCAATGGATTTTTTT